ATGGAACGATGGAATTATGAATGGGCGGATGGATGGATGGATGGATAGATAGACGGTCGTGTAAATGGAGTGATGAATGTATGGATAAACGGAATTATGAATGGGTGGATAGATGGATGTATGTATGGATAGATAAACGGGTGTGTGAATGGAGTGATGAATATATGTAACGATGGAATTATGAATGGGCGGATGGATGGATGGATGGATGGATAGATAGACGGTCGTGTGAATGGAGTGATGAATGTATGGATAAACGGAATTATGAATAGGTGGATGGATGAATGGATGGATGGATGGATGTATGGATGGATAGACGGGTGTGTGAATGGAGTGACGAATGTATGGATAGACGGAATTATGAATGGGCGGATGGATGGATGAATAAATAGACGTGTGTTAATGGAGTGATGAATGTATGAATAGAAGGAATTATGAATGGGCGGATAGATGGATGTACGTATGGATAGATAAACGGTTGTGTGAATAAAGTGACGAATGTATGGACAGACGGAATTATGAATAGGCGGATGGATGGATGGATAGATAGACGTGTGTTTATGAAGTAATGAATGTATGGAACGATGGAATTATGAATATGCGGATGGATGAATGGATTGATGGACGGATTTGTGAATGGAGTGATGAATGTATGGATAAACGGAATTATGAATGGGCGGATGGATGGATGGATGGATGGATAGACGGGTGTGTGAATGGAGTGACGAATGTATGGACAGACGGAATTATGAATGGGCGGATGGATGGAGGGAGGGAGGGACGAAATGAGCAGAAGAGCGTGGATAGGGGAGCAAAGAAGGTACGAGGATGTGCTTTAAAAAATCACATCCGTTGCAACCTTTTAGCAAATCGTCCGCTTATCAGGAGCGTGGCCAGTCAGCTGTTCTCGACACGACACACCTCCTTTTCGGCCTCGTGATTGCCATCGGGCCTTGACTCGATCATCGGTTTATTGTTTACTACAGACTTAGTTGACTTTCGTTTCTTCCCAATCGGGTTGCAATTGAGACGATTCGCGTTGAGTTGACCCACAAACCGACACAGTTCACGAGGCACCTGTGCATCTTCCTGCTCGCATGCCAACCGGCCGGCAGCAGCAAAAGTGGATCTAAAAATACCCAATATTAAGTCATATTTTCGAGAAAGCATGTTTTGCCGACCTCCTTCTCTTGTGTGTGCACAAGTGGGCACACCTGTCAGTGTGTGTGTGTGTGTGGGATGGAATCAATCGACTGGAGAGAATGACTCTCACCGAACTTCGCTTCACCTTATTGGGGAGTTAAGGAGGACAATTGCTTGGTTCCGGTCACCTTTTGCCTGGGCTGTTGCGTGACAGACAATGTCGAAATTCCATTTCAGACGTGATTTTCATAGAAATTCCAAACTAAACTATACCAAAGTTATTTCATTTTTGTATCCATATGTGATGATATACGCTCATGTGTATAGAAATTTATATAAAAATGTGTATTGGGGTGTGTAGGCGGGCAGGTTAACATCAAACGGTGATGCTTCCGAATGGGTCAAGCAGAGTTCAATCTCTTTCCCACTTCATCAAGCCATCATGGATGGGTGTTAAGTGGGCTAGCCAACCACCAGTCGTAATTCATCAGGCACATGAATGCGAAATCAGCTTGTCAATACATACATGAGCTCGTCAGATTCAT